AATTTTGTTGAGCTTTGATTATAGGTGATCTCAAGAAACGTTCTTGGAGAGTCTAAGCTTCATTTGGTGATTACACATTAAGAACTCATTCAAGACTTTCGACTTCATTGGTTCTTATTCAATATGCACTTTGGAGAGTGTGTTAAAGATCAGGTTCATCAACAATTTGTGCATTGAATACATGTGTGAGGATAGCCAAGTTTGAGACTTGAGATTGCTCTTGTGTTTGTAAGAGATTGAGTGTGTTCATCTCATGTATTGCTATTTTTATTTTAAGTGGTGAGAAGAGTGCAATTAAGGGTTGTCATTGTATTCTTGTAAACTCAATCATTATAGTGGGTTACCTTCAACTAAGGTTGTTGAAGGAGAATTGTATGTAGGCTTGTGATATAAGGATTCTCATTTCTAACAATTGGTATCAGAGTTGAGAATTCAAAAGTTAATCAAAATTTAATCGATTACATTTGTAATTTAATAGATTAAATTGATCCTAATGACCTCTATATCTCAAACCTTTGGAGAAGGTGCAACTACAAATAGACCACCACTATTTGCAAGTGAGAATTATCCCTTTTCGAAAATCAGAATGAAAATCTTCTTGGAATCGGCAGACAAAGGAGTATGGGATGATGTAATAAATGGTCAATTTGAACCAACCAAAGTTGAGAATGGAAAAACCAAGATTAAGGATTTTTCTGAATGGACTGTTGATGAAAATAGAAGAGCTCACTATGATGTTATAGCTAAAAACATTATTTCTTCTGCACTTACTATTGATGAGTTTTATAGAATACTTATGTGTGCAACTACAAAAGAGATGTGGGATGTGTTAGAGGTAACACATGAAGGTACAAATGAGGTGAAGAGAGCTAGAAAGAATTCTTTAATCCAAGAATATGAAATGTTTAGAATGAAGAGTGGTGAGACAATATATGATGTGCAAAAGAGATTCACTCACATTGTAAACCATCTTCTTGCTCTTGGGAAAACCTTTGATGAGGAAGCGCTAAACATCAAGATTCTAAAGAGTTTGAATAAGAGTTGGCAACCAAAGGTCACTACAATATCTGAATCCAGAGATTTAACTACCATGAATATGGCCACCTTATTTGGAAAATTGAGAGAACATGAGCTTGAATTGGGAAGACTGAAAGAAGAAGGAGAGCAAGAGCACACAATGTAAGATCCGAGAAAAATAAGGGTCTTAGAAATAAAGTAGTTTTAAGACTTTGGGTTTTTTTTTGGAAATTAGTATTTTTAAGTGTACATTTTTTTAGAACATAATTGTTATGTTATTTTATAAATATTTTGGCTTAGGGGTAAAAATGGTCTTTTATCTTTTATTAATTAGGTGCAAGAAATTAAAATAAGGGGGTGTAGAAAGGAAAAGAATACAAATTAAATAATATGGGAATTTAATAAAAAGATATTATATAAATCCTTTTGAAGATTTAGTTGTTGTTATCTTAAAAAGTAGTTGAAAGAAAATAGGAGATATAATCTTGAGATTAAAGGATATATTATTATTAGAAAAGGATATTATTAGATATTTTAAAGGATATTCTTGGATATTATTATATAGTTAATTAGAAGATATATTGAAATATTATTATATATAATTAGATATTATGGCTTGATAATAAAAAATAATTATTATTGATAGACTTATCATAATTAATTAGAATAAAAATATTAAGATAGAAGATATTAGAAACTTATCAGAATTAATTAAGTTAAAGATAACTTTATTTTATCTTATCTATATCTTTTATCTTAGTTGGTTGTTCTTACTCCTTGTGTATATTCCACACAAAAAAATTAATCCCACACATAATTGTCACTATATTAGACACCTCCTATCTATATAGAAACTCTGGCCATTAGGAATATAAAAAGAGAGAGAAACGTTCTTAGAGAGAAGACAAGTATTAACTGTAGAAAATGTTAGTGCAAAGGGAGATTTGTTGTGATCTGTGGGGTGTAGATAAATCCTTAGTATTGGCTAAGGTAAGAGAAGCTTACACTCTTGATTTGTTACATTCTTGATTTGTTACATTCTTGATTGCATTTTTGATTTCTTAGATTCATGATTGTTTACATTCTTGACTTCTTAGATTCATAATTGTTTACATTCTTGATTTTCTTGAGGGGTATGAGGAAGCTTACATTGTTTGTTTGTTTGTTTGTTGTACATTATATGTTCTTGATTATCTTGATCGGTAATCCTTCTTTTAATGCATGTGTACATGATTACAAATTATGATTATTTGTTGTTATTGTTGGGTAAGTGTAAATGTATGTATGATGGGTGTTTCTGCATGGGATTAATGGTTATGTTTAGGGTTAGGTTTGACTTGGGATGGAGGTTGGAGCATGGGTGAGTGTTGGGTTGTACCAGAATGAGTGGTTCATGAGCATATGAGTGGGGGATAGGTCTACTAATTGTGCCTAGTAAATTTTGTTTTTATCTACGGATAGGTATTGGTTGTTTGAGTATTGAACCTTCCTTGTGTGAGGGTGATGGTGGTTTCCTTGTCCTTATGTGGTAGGAAGGCATGTTCCTTAGCTTGATTGCAGGACTACTCGAACATATCTATAGGGGAGGCTATAGATTGGGCTGTCGGTTATAGTCAGTGAGGTAGGGTACAAGAGTATGACTAATTCTTTCCACTATGATGTTATGGTATTGGAGGAGGCTCATGGTGGTAATCATAATGAGGTTAACTATGATGGTAGTACACATGTTGATGAGTATTGTGATGATGGAGCATTAGCGGAATACTAGGTTGGTAGTAATGATATAAGGTGGAATAGTTGGCATAGGTGCTACTCTGAGAATAGACTGTCAGGCTAGGTGTGTGATGTTAGTAATAATCAAGGATAGAGTATTGAGGTTCAGGAACTGAGTATTCAGATATGTTTATTTGTTGCATTTAGAGGATCAGGAATCATGTTGTAAATACTTATGTGTATGGTGTGTTTGATTATGGTTGATATAATCACTAGGTAAGTATCTTGTTATGTGTTTGATTATGGTTGATATAATTAATATGTATGTTTATATGAATTGTTTCTCTTAGCTCACCCTTTCATGTTGTGGTTGTGGTTTCCACCTAACAGGATCGTTTTTATACGAGAGTAGATGATCATGCAGTTAGTTCGAATATTGTATAGGGCGATGAGTGGATTGAGAGAGTTGGAAAATTTATGGTTGTTTGAATAAACTATTTTATATGGAGTTTTATTTTATAATTAATTTGGAATTGTGGTTCATTTTTCTTGAATTGTAAAGACTTATTGAATTTGGATTTCCGCAATGGCATTTTGATTTTAAAAATTTTAATTTTCAATTGTAATCGTGGCATCCCAAAATTAGGGTGTTACACACAATTACTCTCAAGACAGTTGCAAAAACAACAGGCAAGGCAAGCTCAAGGAGAAATGATGCAGAAGATGATCTTAAAGCTAACAATTCAGATCTCGAAGCAATGAACATTATGGTAAAAAGGTTCTCTAAATTCATGAAGTTAAAAAAACAAAACTGATTCTGATTTTGCAGGTAATGAAAGGACAAAAAGGAGAAAAGGGAAAAGAACTACTGCACCAACTTGCTATGAATGTGGCAAGATTGGACATATTAAACCTTAGTGTCTAGTGGTTAAAATGGAACATAAGGTAGAAGAAAAAAACCAATCAAGACAACAAAAATCATAGGAAGAAAAAGGCCTATATAGTCTGGGAAGACAATGCTTCAAGTTCCTCCTCAAGTGACTCAGATGATAGCATTGAAGAGGAAACCAATTTATGCTTGATGGCAGGATCAATTTGTTCTGAAAGCAGTGCTAGCAGTTTTGAAGATGAATCCATTGAAGACAAGTATTATCAATTACTTGATGTTTTTTAGGAATTACATGGTGAAGCTATGAAAATACAGTACCAAATAAATAGGTTTAAGAGTGAAAAGAGATGCCTAGAGATATAATAGAAAATCTGCACAAAGAAAATGAAAACTTAAAATCTGAATTAGAAAGCTTGAAAAATGCAACTAGGCATGGCATAAAATAAAGTAAAGTAAGTGTTCAACATTGTAAAAATTGTCTAACACAGTTAGAGAGAATGAAGTACCTAATGAGCATACTATCAAAATTCACTTTAAGTAATTCTAATTTTGAAACCTTGGTAGGATCACGAAGCAGTGTACTTAATAAGCAAGAAATAAACTATACAAGAAAAAACAATCAAATGAATGCTAGGAAATTGAGTAACATCAGCGACCTTTATCTACAACTTATTTTGATTGCAATCATATTCGTCATACCATCAAAATTTTGCTATAATAAAAATGTTGGAGTACCTAAGGAAAAATTTAAGTAGATTCTTAAGGAATCACCATAGCCAACTAACAATCCCAAATTCACCACAGCCAACTAACATTATAGGTTCCAAACCATTTAACTCATTTAACTCTTTGAGATGATTTGAAAATGAATTTTCTTAAGGAAAAGCACAAAGCTAAAACATGTGTCACATTTCAAGTGCTCAAACAAGCCTTGGTACTGTGCATAATTCCCATGCCTGCATAAACATATTGATGTGTGTGATGTGTGCTTGTTTAAATTAGACAATTTGTAATAAAATATTAATTACAAAATAACTAAAAGTTATTATAATAAAATTAAAATTTATATTTAATTTTATAATTACAATTTCATTATTTTTACTATTAAAAAAATAAAACACTCGCGCACCAGTAAAATATAATAAAATATAATGTGAATGTTAAAAAATAATTATTGATTGAACATTTTAAATTAAAAATAGTAAATAATTTAAATATAAACTATATATTAAATTTATAATTAATAAAAACGTGTGTTATAATTTATTTATAATATAAAATGAATTATATTGTAATTTATAATTTATTATCTATTATAACTTATAGTTATATAGTAAATATTAATTTTATGTTGAAATGTTAGTTTGTACCAGGGAAATGACAATATGAAGATTGATAAAAGAAAATTTACTGAGAAAAGAAGAAAATGTTCTCTCACTGAAATGAAATTTGATAAACCCTAAACTGGGGAACCCTGAACTCACCACACAACAGAGAATCTGAATCCCATAGCAGAAATAACTAGCAAACAATGCAACAAGTCTTAACATTATTGTAGAATTTTGGATTTTGTTTCACTCAGGATAACCATAGTAACCATGGGTCGTCACTCTTCTGGCAACCACTCTCCCTCATCCCGCCGTCACCGGAGCCACCGCAGCATCTCTCCGCAGCTGCGAGAAAAGCATGAGCGTTCCGCCCGCACCGCGGCTAGGTCGATTCGGACGGATTCCGGTTCTCCGGATTCTCCCTCTCGCTCGCGCTCTCCGTCTCCGCGAACGAAGCGGTTGAAGAGAGCTCAGACGGACCGTGAGCCTCGTGAGAGTGAGAGGAGCCGTGGTAGTAGCAGAGGGAGAGGTTCGGAGAGGGAAGGGGCTGAGCGGAGGGAGAAGAGGAGGACGGAAAACGACGGAGGTGGCGGTGGTAGTGGAAGGAGTAGCAAATCGGAGAAGAGAACGGAGAACGAAGATAGTGGCGGGAGAAGTAACAAATCGTCGCGGTCGAGGCACGAGAGGTCGCCGGAGCGCGAGCACAATGGAAGGAGCCGACATAGGTCTCAGTCTCCGCCGCATCGTCACGCCTCCTCCGGGAATGCAAAGCCTCGTGATGAGGTGTCCGGTGATATCCAACCCTTGTTCATATCAATTCTTCGAGTTCTTCTTTATTTTTGTAATTTAAGTTGTTTTTTCTTATGGTATGTGTGTTGTTTTGCTGACTTGAAGAATCTGAAGTTTATTTTTAATGCTGATGTTGGAATCAAAGGTTGAGGATGTGGTTTGGGAGATGGTTTTATGGTTGGAACCCTGTTGAACATTTGTTGTGACTTTTTGCTTGACAGGGGTGTTCTTGCATGAGTAGGGTGTGAGAATTTAAGCATTTCTGGATGTCCATTGAATTTGTGGAATGTATATTTCTGGAGGTAATTTGAGAAAATGCGAAGGTTCTTCATATGTACGAGTGGATCAGAGAGTTTGGCAAAAGAAATGTTTGTGTGATTGGGAGATTTAGGAACGAGGGTAAAAAAGTTTAGGTTAGGTTGGATTTTTCCTTAGGTTGGCTAGAGGATCTCTCTGATGATTTTCTTAAGGTGGATTTAAGTAGAATATTTGTACTATGGAAATATGTGGAAAAAAAAGAGACAAACATGCGATTGTTATTGGAATTATGGTTTATACTCTAGTTATGTGATTAAGGTAGTGGCTCCAACTGTAGAAGTTTTGAGAGCTCTGATTCTGTTGGCTTGTGTGTTGACAACCTATTATAAGTTAGTTTCCAGTTGAAGGGTATTTTTTCTATTTACAATTTACATCAAAAAAAAGGAAACGTTGACAGAAGTTATACTGGTACTTTGTATTTGACATTGATATTTTTCTTTAATTAAAGAAAATTGGCTCATCCTGTATTGCTTTTCTTTTTGAGTACCTGCTTATTTCATGTCGCTTACTGGTGTTGTCTCATATGCTCTTTTAGATATTGTGGCTTTGAAGAATAAGTAAGGAAAAAGGTGATATCACCTTGGAACTTATGGAGGTTTTTATAGACTAAAATGGTGCCTTTGTCATGGGACGCTTTTAGTTTTAGTACTATTGAGCAGTTTTATTTGACAAGTCATGAGTGTGGGGATGATAATCTCTTGATTCCAAAATTTTGATTTGTTTAGTATTCTTTATTTTTGGCATTTAATTTTCATTTTCCCTTGTTTTCTCCCATCTTTGTAGTCTCTTTATTCTGTTTCGAACTTCTTTCTATTTTAAGGTTTAAATATTTTCTAGAATTAATGCTTATATGGATTGCTGTTTAACTTTTGAAGATGATCAACTCCAGCGGAGCTGAAGAAATGTAAGTTTCTGTTTGAACTCTGAATTTTATTTACCATATTGTTTGTTTGTTGGTTTTTGTTTGATTTAAGCTGTTGAATATAGTGAAAAACTATATTTGAATTAATCTCCCTTGTGTTGAATACACACATAGGGTTCTCTATTTATAATAGAAGAAATATGGGCTAAGCCCAAAATACAAATGAGAAATAATAACAAACTAACTAAAAGATAAAAGATATAATATATCTAACACTCCCCCTCAAGCTGGAGCATACAAATTGTATGAACTAAGCTTGGAATAGATGAACTCAGTGTTGAACTAGATGATTTGTCTTCAAGAGTGTGAG